ACTTGATTAAATGACTAGAACCATACCACTAGCTCAAGAGAGGAAAAATTGAAGCCTGAAGTTCCTATGGTTTCTGATATGTAATGGTAACATGCAGTAAATTCAGGAGATACCACACAAAGTATATCACACGACATCTTATGATGGTGAAAACATTGTCTCCCATTGAGAAAAAAATGAAATATTTGCCTATAAATCTCACATAAACATATAATTCCTATGATACTTGTGAAAATACTGTGGGTGTCACTACTTTATGTGGAAGACTTAGGGCATAGCACAGAGAGAGAAGTGGGTTATATAAAGAGCATGTGAATTTCTGCAAAAGTTTCTGAGGATAGTATTGGCACGGTGCAGAATACAACGATGCAGAAACTACAACGCTGTGAAAGGGAGTGATTTAAGAGAGTGATTTGGAAGCAAGCACTGTTTATATGATTGCTGTCAATGCGCTTTGATGTCATCGCAGAAAACATCTGGCAGGAGCATTGGATGATGGCAAGGCAATGCATAGCAGTGTAAGAATGTCACTGAGAGAGATGAAGAGAGAAGCAGAAAACTGAAAGTGCTAGAAGTCAGCGGTGTGATGCACAGTTACCCCCACAACCGTTCAGAAAGAAGATAGAAAAAGGGAAATGGTCTGCCTGTTGTCATTATGGCTTATTGCTTTTAATTTTCTTTTCATGGATAAGATCACCTGAGTCACATGCTTCCACTGTCCATTTTCTTCGCCCAGCAGTCCCCCCTCTGAGGCCCTTGATCCTGCTTCCATCTGCATATCTAAATTTTCCCCTTCAGCCACATCATGCCTTTGCCCCATCATCTGCTCAAACCCCATTCTAAACTCGACCAGAGTTTCCACCTGCATCTCCAGTCCTCGGATCTTTTCTTCCATCAGCTCGATCAGGCGGCACTTCATTCAAACAAAACTCCTTTCAGGTTCCACCTCCAGAATCATGTACATACCGCAGCTACCACATCCAATCATCCTCCTTGTGTTCTCTGCTACTTGGGCCATGGCCACTAATGCCTCTATGTTTTATCTACTTTCTCACCAAAATCCTATTAGTCCGGTGAACATAAAAACAAACTAAAACACCCCCTCCACAGCAAAAATGAACTCCAAATAAGTCCTACAATCCAAACTCCCCTTACAAACTCCCACTCAAACTCCCCTGTTTACAGCTCCGTTTGCTTGGCTCCTGTGCTGCTGCAGCTATCTGTGATCCACGGTTTCCAGAGCACTTTATGCTGTGGAGACCTTTGTCACTAGCACCAGAGGGCCAGAGCAGGGGCGAGAATCTCAATTTATGAACTTAGACAACTGACAGAACATGTGCACAGGGGTTCATGACTTGTATAAACGCATTTTGAAGAACTTTTAAATGAAACCTCAGTTTAAAAATTCTGCAAACTTTTGCAAAAGTTTCTCATTTTCCCATAAGAACACATACTTTTGGTAAACTAGAAAATATGAATGACAAACCAGTTAGATGAAAGATAACGGGGCTAAAAATTAAGTAAATTTTTGCAAACATCTGGAAGATAATAAAGGTGATACTAGGGGGCTGTACCCCTGCTCGCCAACCCCTTCTCTGTGAGGTACATGTCTGGCTGGGAGGAGGGTGCTGGAGTGGGCTGGGAGTAAGTGTCTGGCCAGGGTGGTAAGACAGGAGCAGGTTGGGGACGCATGGTTTCCGTGGAAAAGGTGAGTGAGCAGGCTGAGGGTATGGTGTCTTGACCAAGGGGGTGTAACGGAGCTGAGAGGGGTGTAGCTTTCAGCCCCTCCCATGAGGGGGGAGGACTCGCGGCTCCAGCCCCACAAAGAGAGGGAGAGGGCATGCGCCTCCTGGGGCTCCCCCAGAAGGGGGAGGGTGCACAGATTGCAGCCCACAGCACCAGGAAGGGCAGCTGAGGGCAGAGGGATGCAGTGAGATGATGAAATTACTTTGTCGTCCCACAGGAAATTTTTTGAGAGAGAGAGAGAGAGATTAGCCAGCATGGATCTGTAAAGAACAAATAATGTCAAACCAACCTGATACAGTAGACTTCCGATAATCCGGAACCTATGGGACCTAGGCGGTGCTGGACTATCAAATATGCTGGACTATCAGGAGATACTATAAGATGATTTTATATATATACACTGTATACATTATATACTGTATATAAAGTGTTCTTAACCCTTTTTATTGTACATACTGTATACAGTATACTGTAATGTTTTAGTTATTTTAAGCCTTTTTTACCCTTTTTGCTCAGTTCAGCTGCTGCCGCTGTTACCTTGTGACTCATTTTTTGCCGAAGCTCACTCACTAGGCTCTTGCCATTTTGATGCCGGACTATCAGGAGTGCCGGACTATTGGAGTTTTACTGTAGCTTTCATTGAGAAAATATTGAGCCTTGTGGATAAGGGGGAAGCAGCAGATGTGGTATATCTAGACTTTAGTGAAGAATCTGATACGGTCTCACATGAGCCTCTCATTAACTAGGGAAATACAACACAGATGAGATTAGTGTAAGGTGAGTGAATAACTGGTTGGATAACCATTCCCAAAGAGTAGTTATAAAAGGTTTACAGTCATGCTCGAAGGATATAATGGCTGTGTCTACACTGGCATGAATTTCCGGAACTGCTTAAAATGGAATACTATTCCGTTTTCAGTTTTTCCGGAAAAGGAGCGTCTACATTGGCAGGCTGCTTTTCCAGAAAAGCCCTTTTTCCGGAAAAGTGTGTCTACATTGGCCACAGACACTTTTCCGGAAAAGAGCCAGTGTAGACAGGCCAGTAGTCTTTTCCGGAAAAAAGCCCCGATTGCGAAAATGCCGATCGGGGCTCTTTTCCGGAAAAGTGTGTCTACATTGGCCACAGACACTTTTCCGGAAAAAGGGCTTTTCTGGAAAAGCAGCCTGCCAATGTAGACGCTCCTTTTCCGGAAAAACTGAAAACGGAATAGTATTCCATTTTAAGCAGTTCCGGAAATTCATGCCAGTGTAGACACAGCCAATGAGTGGGGTTCTGCAGGGATTAGTTCAATACCTTCATCAATGATTTAGATGATAGCATAGATTTAGATAATAGCATAAACATATAAAGTTGCAGGTTCTTTGGAGGAAAAGATTATAATTCAAAATGATCTAGACAAAGGGTCTGAAGTAAATAGGATGAAATTCAACATGGACAAACGCAAGGTACTTCAGTTAGGAAGGAACAATCAGTTTCACACATATAAAATGGGAAACGACTATCTAGGAAGCAGTAGTGCAGAAAGAGATCTAGGGATCGTAGGGACCATAAGCTAAATAGGAATCAGTGTGGCACTGTTGCAAAAAAAAAGCAAACATCATTCTGGGATGCACTTACAGGAACGTTGTGAGCAAGACAGAAGAAGTGGTTCTCCTGCTCTACTCTGCACTGATTAGGCCTCAACTGGCATATTGTGTCCAGTTCTGGGCACCAAATTTCAAGAAAGATGTGGAGAAATTGGAGAAGGTCCAGAGAAGAGCAATACATAGAGCATTAATAAAAAGTGATATTCTTGGTACAGCTGCATGCTCATCTATCCCAAGCAAGCAGGAAAGGAGGAAAACATGTCTATAAATCAAAAGGGACAGTGCCTGCCCATGCTGCACCCCCATCACATCGGTAGCAATTACCCAGACCCCTTATTTAACTCTCACACATTCCAACACTCCCCTTTATGTGTGCATGCAGACACATGTTTGTGCAGGTGTATGTGCATGTTCATCTGTGCATGTGCCTGCATGTGTGCACACGTGTGTAGGTGTGCTGCTCAACATAAGTTGAATGTTGTAAAGCTGAGGGCTGCCGGACAACATAATTTTAAGTAAAAGTAATTTTGTTGGTATCAATTATTTATCAAACAAAAAACCAATGTCCACATTAATTTATTCTTAACTCTGCCTAAACCAAAACCCACTGAAGTTACCACTGCTTTGGGGTCTACAAACCTTGGGTAACACTGGCTCTCCCACCAGGAGCTCATGGACATTACTGGTGGGAGAGACACATGCTCCCATGACACATAGAACAAAGGAGTTGATAAAAAGGAGCACCAGATTCACCCTCAAAGAATGGTGAGCTAGAAAAGAGAAAAGCCTGAAAAGAGGCCTGAAACAACCCCATGTGTCACAGGCCAGGTGTGAGGCCTGGGTGAAAGCAGTCAAGACTTTTTAAATATAAAGCAAAGTTGAGCTGTGAGCAACAAGCAGTCCCTGCTTGCAGAATCTGGTAAGAACAGGACTGATACTGCAGAAACATGCATACTTAAGAGGTCCTACGCACAAATCATGTGAAAACATTCCACGTGGGTGGTATCAGACCACCCGGTTAGAAAACATCTTGGTACCAACATAATCCCCATAGATAACAAAAACATACTGACCCATCCTAAGCAGGAGGCCAGGATGACAGCATGATGGATAGAGATGTTTTAATCAAATCATCATGTACAATAGGTGGCATCAGAGAATGATGCATCTAGAATACATGTGACTCCTTTATATTTGTGTATAAAGATGTATCTTAGAGAGGCTGTCTTTGCCTCTCATAGGAGGCAGTGAAAAGTCCTGCCTCCAACTGAGCTGATCCATTGTCAGGGGGCACTCAGGTACTCGCAGAACTGTAGACAACTGATCCCGGAAGCTGGACACTGTGCTTTGTTTGGCAATAAATCCAGCTGTGAACTTCATCCCTTATCTGATTGTGTGGGAAGTGGGGGATTTTAATGAGTTCTAATGTGCTGGCTATCTGTGCAGAGCCAGTGCAGTACATAGAGGGAACACATGCACATGGCTGAATGGTTATCAGCATTGGACAGAGCAAGAAACTCATCAGAACACCACATTGGTGATATCTGATGACACTGGCAATCCACCTGGGGGACCTGAGACACCACATGTTGAAAATAGCTCAAAGAACCTTTAAGAAGGAATTAGAAAAACTACTAAAGAAAAGAAAACCTTCAGTAAGCCCTCACTAGGGTTTTTATTATATTTATTTCCTTTGCAAATTCTCCAACTATAAATAAGGACTGAGTTCTGATATAAGTTTTTCCCACATGCAAAGCACCTATAGTGTCTCTAGGCAATGTGGAGTCTTTGATGTTTAAGAAGATCTGAGCTCCGAAGGAAGTTTTTCCTACATTCACAGCATTGATAAGGTTTGGCTCCTAGGTGGATTCTCTCATGTTTTTTTCGTGATGAGAGGTCAATAAATTTTTTCCCACACTCACAGCATTCATAGGGTCTCTCCCCTGTATGAATTTTCTGGTGTGTAACAAGGTTGGAGCGCCAAGTGAAGCTTTTTCCACATTCAGGACATTCATAGGGTCGTTCCCCTGTGTGGATTCTCTGATGCTTAACAAGGCATGATCTCTGAGTGAAGCTTTTTCCACACTCACAGCATACATGAGGTCTCTCTCCTGTGTGGATTCTCTGATGTTTCATGAGTGTTGAGCTGTCAGTGAAACTCTTCCTACACTCACAGCATTCATAAGGTCTCTCTCGTGTATGGATTCTCCGATGTTTAATAAGATCTGAGCTGTTAATGAAGCTTTTCCCACACTCACTGCATTCATAGGGTCTCTCGCCTGTGTGGATTCTCTGATGTGTAATAAGCAGAGAGCTGTCCCTGAATTTTTTCTGGCACTCCCAGCATTCATAGGGTCTTTCTCCTGTGTGGATTCTTTGATGTGTAATGAGATTTGAGCTGCGAGCAAAAGCTTTCCCACACACACAGCATTCGTAAGGTTTATGTCCCATGTGCATTTTCTGATGTTTCTTGAAAGATGATCTGTCACTGAATTTTTTCCCACACTCGGTGCAGTCATAGGGTTTCTCTCCTGTGTGGATCCTCTCATGTACAATAAGGTTTGAGCGTTCAGTGAAGCTTTCACCACACTCTGAACATACAAAGGATCTCACACCTGTGTGGATTCTCTTATGCCTAACAAGGCCTGAGCTCTGAGTGAAGGTTTTCCCACATACACTACATTCATGGGGCCTCTCTCCAGTGTGGATTCTCTGGTGTTTAATAATGGATGCTCTCCGTGCAAAGCTTTTCCCACAAATACTGCATTGGTAAGGCCTCTCACCTGTGTGGATTCTCTGATGTGTTATGAGGTCTGAGCTCTGAGTGAAACTTTTCCCACAATCAGTGCATTTATGGGGTCTCTCTCCTGCATGGAATTTCTGATGTTTAGTAAGAGCTGAGCTGTCAAGGAAAGTTTTCCCACACTCACAGCATTCATAGGGTCTCTCCCCTGTGTGGATTCGCCAATGTTTAATGAGGGATGATCGGTCAGTGAAGCTTTTCTGACACTCATAGCATTCATAGGGTCGCTCTCCTGTGTGAATTCGCCGATGTTTAATGAGGGATGATCTGAGAGTGAAACTTTTCTGACAGTCATTGCATTCATAGGGTCTTTCCCCTGTGCGGATTCTCTGATGTTTAATAAGGAATGAGTGGTTTGTGACGTTTTTCCCATACTCAGAGCATGTTTTGTTTCTCTCTCCTGCAGGGATTTTCTGCTGGACGGTGGTTTCCTTCCAGTATAGGGCAGGTATCAAACTGTTTATGGATTTGTTCTTTTTCCCCCTTAACTTGTTTGCCTGATTCCTCTCCAGCAAGTGCTGACTCTCACAACCTTTTCCCCACTCAGGACTCCTGGACACATTATCTTGAGATATTTCCAATAACCTCCTGTGTGGTTCCACTTGCTCAGCATCTTCCTGATGAGATTTCTGTTCTTCATTCTCATTCAGCATCCCAGCACCTGTTGACAGAAATAGGGATGGAAAATGGGAGACAAACCACAATGCAAATTGGCAGGGGTAGAGGAGGTGATACCAGAGGCTCATGTTCTGGCAATCCCTCAAACTTTTATATTGGTGACCCCTTTCACACAGCAAACTTCCGAGTATGACCCACCTTATAAATTAATAATTCTTTATAGTATTTAATAGTGTTGTAAATGCTGGAGATGAAGCTGGGTTTCGGGGTGGAGGTTGACAGCTCATGACCCACTTATAATGAACTTGTGACCCCTGAAAGGGTCATGACCGGGGACTACTCACATGGTTTAAAATAAATACAAACTTTAGTGAATTCTAAGTGGTAGGCTTGGAAGTTTTCAGCACATTGAGCAGACACAAACCATCCAAAAATATTCCCCTGAATCATGAAAATCTGTGAGAGCCTGTGACGGGGTGAAGCAACCCCGCACTAAGGGTGCCCGCCCCAGCGAGGCAGAGAGAAGCGGCGCGGTTTTTCCCGCCGCTGCCAAGGATGTGGTCGGCGGGGCAGCCAGGATGCGCTGCTCGGCAGGTGGCTTAGCCGGCGCGGCCCCGAACACCAGGGGGGTTGATAGGGTGAGGCAACCCCACATGAAGGATGCCCCCCCCCAGCGAGGCAGGGAGAAGTGGCACGGCTTTTCCCACCGCTGCCGAGGGCGCGGTCAGCAGGGCAGCTAGGATGCGCCGCTCGGCAGGCGGCTTGACTGGCGCGGTCCCGGGCACCGCGGGGAAGGAAAGTGCCCCCTGCACTGGCAGAGACGGTGGCAACGGGGGAGGAACGCCACCCGGCCAGCCTCGGAGCAGGTGGCCCCGCAGATGCCCCCGGGCAGCCCTCTTCCCCACTGATGCTGGCGTCAAGGAGGACGTCGGGGGTGAGTGATGACAGCGGGGGAGGAGAGGGTGGAGCCACGGGCGAACGCAGGTGCAGGCAGTCTGGAAGGGAGGGGGCGGCACCCTCCCCAGGTATAAAAACCGCAGAGTCAGGAGGGGAAAGGGAAGGCGAGGAGGACGACGCCGGATGAAGGGACTGAGAGGCACGAGGAGGCAGCGGGACAAGCCGACTGGTGAGCAGATGAGTGAGGGCGTGAGGAAGCAGCCCAGGGCGGGTGCATACTGGAGCCCGTGGGCTGATGTGTTGAGGCTCTGTGTCCCATCAGCCAGGTTGAGGGAGAGAGGTTAGTCTCCCCCGCCTTAGGGCCCTGGGCTGGGGTCTGGAGAGAGGGAGGGCCCGGACCCCCTCACCTCCTCACTCGAGGGATCGTCTGGGTGACTGAAGAGAAGGTGACCAGACACCATTTAATGAAGACCAGGAGTGAATAAGACCGCGAACGGGGCGGTGGGACTGCCTGGGACGGGGTGAGCCCGTGTACCCCGTAACAGAGCCAAATTAAGAAAATTGCCATTTAAGAACATGAAGTTAATTTAGGGATACAGACTCTGTGTATATTGACAGGAGGACAAAGTAAGTTTGTTTTCATGGGTAAAAAGTTTTAATGCTCTGAATCTCAACTCTGGCTGCCATTAAATAATTATTGTTTGACTTCCCCATATAATTTTCTGAAACTGAACGTTTAAATTGATAAAAAAATGAAAAAGGCTAAAACCTTTAATTAAGAACATAAGAACGGCCATACTGGATCAGACCAAAGGTCCATCTAGCCCAGTAGCCTGTCTCCCGACAGTGGCCAGCACCAGGTGCCCCAGAGAGGGTGGACCGAAGACAATGATCAAGCGATTTGTCTCCTACCATCCCTCTCCAGCCTCTGACAAACAGGCTAAGGACACCATTTTATCCCCTGGCTAATAGCCTTTTATGGACCTAGCCTCCATGAAATTATCTAGCTTCTCTTTAAACTCTATTATAGTCCTAGCCTTCACAGCCTCCTCTGGCAAGGAGTTCCACAGGTTGACTATACGCTGTGTGAAGAAGAACTTTCTTTTATTAGTTTTAAATCTGCTACCCATTAATTTCATTTGGTGTCCTCTAGTTCTTCTATTTAGGGAACTAATAAATAACTTTTATTTATCGGCCCTCTCCACACCACTCATGATTTTATAATTCTGCACAATTCTGAAAAATGAAACACAAAATTGATCAAAATCTTTAAAATAAGTTACAATTATCAAAAGGTAATAACTGAATTTTGCCCAGGCTACAAGATGGTGAATGAAAGGAAAAGTGTCTTTACCCCATTGGTATTCTTTGGAGCTATCTAGTCATGGGTATTCTATTTGTTAGTATATTTTAACTTGTGTTTTGTTCATCAAATTCTAGACCATACTCCTCCATTTCTGGGGCACTTTAAAGTGAAGTGGGAGGTATCAAAAGTTTAATTTTCATCTTGTGCCGTGTGTTTCCTTCTTTCTGAGCTCTTTGTCCAATGCAATAACCATTCTGGCTCTGGGTTCATTTTAATGATCTCAAACTGTTGATTAAAATAAAGTTAAACACAGATCTTGTTCTGAATGTAACTTTATACTTTGTCTACTTACAGAGCTCTAGCCCTAAAGTGGTTACTTGCAAACTCTGCATAGCCATCTAGGCAGAATACTTACATTTAAAAATAAATAATGAGCAAATGCTGTGCTCATGAAAGCGGAAGGATAACAGGGCTGGCTTTGAGCTAGCAATACAGATATGAGCTGTCTCAGCTATTTCAGCCAGAACAACCAACGAGTACTTGTTTTGTCCTACAAAACTCCTAGTGGTTCAATTGCCTTATTTTGAGCCAGCTGCAGCAAGGAATGTCGCGGAGAGCACCAGGCTAAAAGCAAACTCGTTTTCATGTTACACTGGCAATGAAGTTGGAACCCAGATGAAAGCTGGCACACGTCCCAGTTGGCAAGTGCTTGTCTAGCAGTTAAAGGGTTATATGGTTCTGCTGACTCCCTGAGAGGAGGAGTCCTTAGCACAGCTGTTTATAAAGATAAAGGGAAGCATGTGATTGTAACCAAAGAGCCACCCAACGATACCTAAAAAGGGGTTACAGGAATATCCTGATTTTTGTAACTATATTCAAAAGAGAATCTTAAACAAAGCCAAGATTTTAAGAACAAACATTTCCTTCTTCACTTTCTCCCCAGCAGTCAAGGCACTAGGCACATCTATGATATGCCACTCTCAGGGTTGTCTTATGATTTTTGGTGCCCTACACAGTCCAAGCATCTGCACCTTCCATCCGTGCCAGAGGTGGGGGAAGAGCTGCTCTATGGGGACAGATGCATTCAGGGCTGGGGAGCTGGCAGGGAAGCACGTGGAATGAGCTGCACAGCCATCTGGAGCTGTGGGCCAGGAGGTAGAACAGGCAGAAGGTGGGAGCGGAGTAGCTGGCTGGAGCTGTGGGCTGGACGGTGGACCAAGCTGGAGGAGGAATGGTACAGCAGGCTGGAGCTGTGGGCCAGGAGGTAAAGTAGAGGGCAATGGCCAGGAGGTGAAACAGTAGGTTTGCGGCTGGGAGTCAGAGCAGAGGGTGGGAGAATCCGGTGGTGGCCTTAGGCATATGCAGCATCAACGATTAATGAACTTCGGGCATCACTGAGACTCCGCATTTAGAGGTGCACTACACAACTGTGTATGCTACATACGCCTCAAGGACAGCCCTACCCACCTTTAGTTGTCTCTTTTCTACACTGAAAACTCCATCTTTTTAATATTTCCTCATACAGAAGCTTTTTCATACCCCTAATAATGTGTTGCCTTTTTCTGTGCCTTTTCCAACTTATTTGAGATGGGGCAGACAGATCAGCATGCAGCATTCAATACATGCGTTTATTCCATGAGTACCAACATTGTTAGCTTTTTTGATTGCTGCTGCACATTGAGCAGACAGCTATCCACACAGCTTCTCAGATCTCTTTTTCTGAGTTTTTACAGCTAATTTAGATCCCACCAATTTGTATGTATAGTTGGAATTATGTTTTCCAATGTGCATCACTTTGCATTTATCAACATGGAATTTCATCTGCCATTTTGTTAGACAGTCACCTGGTTCTGAAAGATCCTTTTTGTAACTCTTAGCAGTCTGCTTTAGAATTAAGCATCTTGAGCAGCTTCTGCAAATTTTGCCACCTCTCAGTTTACTCCTTTTTCCAGTTCATTTATGAATATCCGGAACAGCACAGATCTAATGAAAACTCCTGGGAGACAGCACCATTTACCTCTTTCCTGTCTGAAAATGGACAGGGAAGTGATCCCAGGGATACAGTGATGCCACTGCACTATAAAAGAACATGCTCGCAGATTGGAACACCAACCTTTATCTGCAGGCTCTCCAGCTGTGTACACTGTCTCAGCTGTAAATGGAATAAAAAAGGGGAGAGATTAGTGGAAGCAGCTTGGCAGAGCTGTGCTTAGGGTACAAAGGGAAGTGCATGGGGACCTTGAAAAACCAAGTCACTCTCATGTCAGGGCTGAGAACTGCAGGCTGCATCAGTAAGCGTGCAAAAGGTACACACTTACCAAAAGCACTGTCAGCATTCTGGTGGCATATGTGAGGGCAACAACCCACAACCAATGCTCGGAAAAGAGTGAAGGCCTGGTAACTTTTGCAATCTGTGATGTGGTCAGCATGGTGTAGGCCCAATCTCTGAGCGCAGGCCAGGTGTTAGAAGCTTCTGTTCTCTATGCCCAAGCGAAACACAAGTTTTCCCTTAGCAAAGAGATGATTTTAGACAGTGCTCTGTTCCCAGAGCACTTGGTAGCTGCGAGCGCAGGGTACTGGTGTCTCACTGTCCCACTGGGGTATTGCTGAATCATGGCAGAACAAAGCTTGTATTGTGGAGGAGATATGAACCTTAACTCTGCATTCTCCCCCTTTTAAGACCCAAAGGGAAAGGCCCATTACCCAGTGAGGTCACGTTCTCGTAGTTCTCCTGCATGACGGCTCTGTACAGGGCTCTCTGAGCGGGGTCCAGCAGAGCCCACTCTGCCCTGGTGAAATACACGGCCACCTCCTTGAAGGTCACCAGCCCCTAAAAGAGCAAAAGTCCCCCGCTCAGTGCCTGCTGCTCCACTGTTCACAGGGGAGGAAGGCTGATTACCTGGATACACACTCAGAGGAGCCCCACCCAGAGCCTACTCAGAGCATCCAGCAAGCATTAGGGTGATGAGAGATAAGAAAGAGCCCCTAGTCCTTCCAATAGATAGAAGTGGCAGGAAGTTTTCCTTGTAAGCCGAGCACTTGAGTGGCCACCCAGGAGTGATTCAAATGCTGCCAATCCGAAGAGGAGAGCACCCACAGCATGTGTTTCTGTTGGTGGTGGACATCCAAATATGCCTGGCACACACAACAAAATTTATTCCATGCATGGATGGAAAAAAAATAAAAATAAGGGGAACGTTGTGGCAGGGTCTCCTTTTTCACCACACACCTATGTGCCAGAGGCTGAATGGGAGATGGAGCCCCATTTCTAAGAATCCCATCACTCTCCCCATTGACAGCAGCTGAATTTCAGGGGAAAGGGCAATTTCTCTAAGCCCTTCTGGTGAGCGTCCCCTTATGTCATAGTGGGCTCATGCTCCAATACAGGGAGTCTGGGAACCCATGGAGGTCTATTCCTAGTCTAGCTACCTCACACTTTCCCCCTCCCTTTCTCCACCCTGTGCACTTCCTGCAACCTCCCTGCCTCAAATCATACTCCCTCATCACTCCCACTTTCTGCAGAAGCAAAAGGGACAGTCAATATATAGAAAAATACCAGCATTTCCTCTGCATCCCTACCTGAGTCAGCTCTGCTGCAGCCATTCCCCAGTCAGGAAGGGAGAACATGGATGTGATTCCAGAACCTGTCGGAGTTAGAAGAGTTACTGAGCATAGGTTCAGAATAGGTCATAGAATACTAGAACTGGAAGGGACCTCAAGAGGTCATCAAATTCAGTCCCCTGCCCACACGGCAGGACCAAGCACCATCTAAATCATCCCTGATAGATGTCTATCCAACCTGCTCTTAAATATCTCCAGTGATGTAAATGCCGCAACCTCTCTAAGCAATTTATTCCAGTGTTTCACATCCCTGACAGTTAGGAAGTTTTTCCTAATGTCCAACCTAAACCTCCTTTGCTGCAGTTTAAGTCCATTGCTTCTTGTCCTATCATCAGAGGCCAAGGAGAACAATTTTCCCTCCTCCTCCCTGTGACACCCTTTTAGATACCTGAAAACCACCATCATGTCCCCTTTGAGTCTTCTCTTTTCTGGTATGTCTATATTACAGTGTTAATTTGAGTTATCTTAATTCAAAATAGTTAATTTGAATTAAGCTAATTCGAATTAACGTGTCTACACACAGAATGCAGCTCAAATTAGCATTTTGCTAATTCGAAATACTGCATCCACACTGACTGGACACAGAATCAGAATTAAGGCCAGCCAGAATCAGGTCAGGCAGGGCATCAGATCAGGAGTGTCTGTGTGTGGCTGCTCCCTGTGGTTAAAGGGACACCAACCTCAGCCCCCAGGGCAGACGGTTCGCAGGTGTCCCTGCTTGCTTGCCTGCCTCGATGAGGGACAGCAAAGCATTTGTGTCTCTGCGTGCTCTGGTTGCCCTCACTTGGGACACCAGAGCACTCTGCAGCATGGAACCAGAGCTGCCCCTGGGCACTCTGGTGCTTCTCGTGGATGTGTTGCTGTGAGCCTAGCTGCACTTTCTGCATGCTGCCATCTGGGAGGCTGTCAGTATCCAGGAGGCCCTGCGGGAGAACTTCCACCCTGAGGAGCACTAAGAGCCTCCCTGGTCTGCCCCACTGGGGGTTTGTGACTCATTCCTTCCTCACGTCCTTCCACTTACCTCTCCCTAACCCCCCTTCCTGATGTCAAATAAAATACACATATTTTCATGAACACAAACTCTCTTTATTTAACAAAACTGGGGCGGGGGAGAATGAAACTGGTGAGACTGGGGAAAGGAGGTGGGAGAGGGGAGAAGAGAGGGTGGGAGAGGTGAGGGGGAAACCTGGGAGGAGGGAGCTGGAAGGGGGAAGCAAGGGGAAGAAGGAGGAGAGGAAGATCAGGGCTCAGGGTTGCCTGCACCCTTCCCTGCCATAGATGGCTGCGTTCCTCTGTCTAGTACGGAGATCATGGATGTTGGGGGCATCTCCCCCAACCTGAATATGGTCCACCCTGATCTCCCCCCTGGACCAGGAAAGCGCCCGCCTTCTCTGGGCCCTGGCAGGCTCCTGGGACACAGTGGAGGGCTGGCTGCCAGTGGCGTGCTGGCTCATGTTTTGGGGCCACTGGGTCAGGGCAGTGACTGCTGGCTCTGGGCTGGCAGGCTTGGAGCTAGCACAGGCACTGTGGCCAGAGTATGCCCCTTTAAGGGCTCCAGGGCTGGGGGGAGGGAGAATAGTTTCCTGGTTTGGCCCAGAGTGGGCACCAAAGGAAACTGGGAAGGCTGGAGGCCAGCTAATTCCGACTAAATGTCTCCACAGCGCTTATTCCAAATTAGCTAATTCAAGTTTCGTAAACCTCATTCTATGAGGAGTAATGCCAAACTCGAATTAAGCACCCTGCTAGATTGTATAGCTTGTGTAGATACTATGGAAGTTAATTCGGAATAACAGCTGTTATTCTGAATTAACTTTGCAGTGTAGACATACCCTTCCAAACTAAACAATCCCAATTCCTTCAGCCTTCTCTCATATCTTGTGTTTTCTAGACCTTTAATCATTTTTGTTACTTTTCTCTGGACCTTCTCCAGTTTCTCCACATCTTTCCTGAGATGTGGCACCCAGAACTGGACACAATACTCCAAACTGTGGCCTAATCAGTGCAGAGTAGAGCAGAAGAAGGACTTCCCGTGTCTTGCTCACAACACTCCTGTGAATGCATCCCAGAATCATGTTTGCTTTTTTGGCAACAGTGCCACACTGTTGACTCATATTTAGCTTGTGTTCCACTATGACCCTTAGATCCCTTTCTGAAGTACTCCTTCCTAGATAGTCACTTCCCATTCTGTATAGGAATGCCCAGATATGTCCTGGTGGGCTTTATTAAGCCACACTGATCGAGTAAATCCACATTGCCAGGACTTGTGCAACTGAGTGACAGTTGACTAACGCTTGGTTAACGCCCCCTGGCAGTAGAGATTCTCAAACTTAAAATGTGCTTCAATAATAAGCATAGAGCAGAATCTCATAACTTCATACACATAGTCAAAATCATACAGACCTTTGACTTGACACAACTGATTCTTTGCAATTGCTACATAAGTCGCAACATTCTAACCTGGAATCACAATCTATTCTATTGTGGAATCAAGTGTCGTAAACTCAAAATCTAGTCATAAATTGAATTAGCGGTTGTCAATCTGGAAGCATCATAAGTGCCATTCGATTTAAGTCGAATGTCACAAATCTGGTCATAAATTTGAGGACTACCTGTAATTGTGCAGGACAATGGGTTTCAGTAGATCACAATCTTTCCTATCCTTCAGTGGGACAGAAATTTGTCTCATGAAGGCTCTAACTTAAGGACAACAATTTTCCCTCAGTCTTTTGAAACACATGCAAATGTATAGGATCAGCCTTGATATATTTTTTATTCTCATTTCATGAGAAATGTAAGGGAATCAAAAACAACCAAACAAATAAACAAAGCTGATAAGATATGGCCAGCAGTGTTCCCTGTAACCTGAGCACTTGGGCGGCCATAGAGGAGAGATTTAAATGCCGCCCAGTTCATGAGCAGAGTGCACACAGCTGGCAATGTGTTTCTACTGGTGGTGCTCATCCACACATATATCAGGGCACAGAACAATTTATTCCACACGTGTGGAAAAAATTAAAAGAGAACCTGAGTCTCTCCTGAGACACTGCAGCCCATATTTGATCATTTTCATTTTCTCACTGAAGCTTTCAGATGCCTCAAGGTCTGGTTATTCTGACCTTGTCTCTCCCTATTACACACTACTCAGAGTATTGTTCAGTTTTCCAAAGGAATTGCACACCTAAGATCTGGATTCACTCTGAATCCAAACCAGACAGCAAAGCAGGAGTGAAACAATCACAGGGCTCACCCTGATTTGCATTATTCCACAGCTTCAATGTGCACATCACAATTATTGATCTTAATTTGGGAAGAGCATGGGCTGTTATGAGAGGAGGGGACAAAGGAGGGAGAAGACAGAAATGGGGGGCAGGAGGAATCAAGTCAGTATCTTAGAAGTCTGTTTACTAATGAGAGAAATATGGGGAATACACAGGAAGAACTCAAAATGCGGATCAACACACACAATTATGACATATTTGGCATCTCAGAGACTTGATGGGTTAATATGCTTAACTGGAATATTGGTTTAGAAGGGCACAGCTTGTTCAGGAAGGAAAGGCAGGGGGGGAAATGTGGAGGTATTGTCTTATATATTAAAAACGTATACACATGGATTGAAGTTGAGATGGATATAGGAGACAGACTTGTTGAGAGTCTCTGGGTAAGGTTAAAAGGGGTGTCAAGAAAGCACATCAAGAAAGGGGTCTACTCCAGACCACCTAAGTAGAAAAAAGAGGTGGATGAGGCTTTTCTTAAGCAACTAACAAAATCATCCAAAATATAGGACTTGGTGGTGATGGGGGACTTCAACTACCCAGCTATCTGTTGGGAAGGTTATCCAACAAGTTCTAGTAATGAATTGGAGACTTAATTTCAGAAGGTGGAGAAAGTTACTAGAGGGAAGGCTATTCTACAGTTGACTTTGTCAAATAGGGAGGAATTGGTTGAAAATTTAAAACATCTGTGGTCCAGCAGGGCCAGGGATGTTGCTGGACCAAAGAGGCCAGAGCAACACAGGGGCTGGGGAGCCCCTCCCCTGGCCTGGAACCTCCAGCATTAACAGGGCCAGGCGTTGGCCAGAGAGCCCCAGCCCTGGAATCCCTGATGTCAGGGAAGGCTCTGCCTAGGCCAGGGAACCCCCTGCATTAGTGGGGCCACGTGGCCAAGAAGTCTCAGCCCCAGCTGGGGAACCCCCTACTGCGGCTGGGCAGTCCCAGCTAGGAACCCCGAGAAATCCCCGGTGGCAGCAGGGCCAGGGTGACCGGGCAGTCTCCGCTGGCTGAAGCGGGGCTCACAGAGACGGACCGCCAGAATCCCCAGCAGCAGCAGGACGAGGGGGCTGGGCAGCCCCAGCTGGGGAACCTCTGGTGGCAGCAGGGCCAGCAGGAAGTGAAAGATCCCGTACTCCAAAAAAATCCTCATTTTTTGAGGAGTACGGGATCTTTCAAAAAGGGTTTTTTTTTTTTCCCAAAAGAACCGCAACTAGACGGTGCTTTCACTTTCGAAAAGCCCTTTTTCAAAGAAGTGCTCGGACACCATTATGCAAATGAAGCACAGGACATTTAAATCCCCGCTTCATTTGCACTTCCGATCTGCCTAATTTACATCCCTCTTTCGACAAAGGGATGTAGGTTAGACATGCCCTTAGTGAGTATCTATGAAAAGTAATGGAATATAAGAGAGATTCCAGAAGACTGGAAAAGAGTAAACATAGCATCCATCTATCTATAAAAAGGCAAATAAGGACAAACTAGGAAATTGCAAATCAGTTAGCTTAACTTCTGATACCATAAAGAAGCAAATAATTAAGCAATAAATTTCCAAAAATCTAAAATATAGTAAGGTGATAAGTAACAGCATAGATTTGTCAAAAACAAAACATGTCAAACCAACATGCTAACTTTCTTTGACAGGATAACAAACCTTGTTGATAAGGGGAAAGCTGCAGATGTGGTAGATCTTGACTTTAATAAAGCTTTTGATGGTGTTTTGAATGACTTTCCCATAAACAAACTAGGGAAATGCAACGACTATAAGATGGGTACAAAACTGGTTGGATAACCATTCCCAATCATAACACAGAGTAGTTATCAATGATTCACTGTCATGCTGGAAGGACAGTGAGGTGTGATGAATGAACAGTTCTGGGTCCACTTCTCTTCAATATCTTCATCAATGATTTAGATATTGGCATATAAAGTACACTTATACAATTGCAGAAGATACCAAGCTGGGAAGGAGTGCAAGTACTTTGGAGGAGAAGGTCATAATTCAAAAAGATTTGGACATACTGGAGAAATGGTGTGAGGTAAATGGGATGAAGTTCAATAAGGACGAATGCAAAGTACTTCATTTAGGAAGGAACAATCAGTTGCACGCATACAAAATGGGAAGTATTAGGAAGGTGTACCGCATATTTGGCTTGTGGTGCACTATGACCCCTAAAATAGTGCATTACAAGCTAAATAAGAGTCAATAGTGTAACACCAAAACCAAACACACAAACATCATTCTGGGATACATTGACAGAAATGTCATGAGCAAGGTAAGAGAAGTAATTCTTCCCATCTACTCTGCACTGATTATGCCTCAACTGAAATATTGTGTCCAGTTGTGGGAACCACATCTAAGGAAAGATGTGGACAAACTGGACAAGGTCCAGAAAAGCACAACAAAAATGATTAAAGGTCTAAAAAACATGACCCATCAGAGAAGACTGAAAGAATTGTTTAATCTGGAAAAGAGACGATAGAAGGGAAATAACCATTTTCAGGTGCATAAAATATTGTTACAATGAGGAGAGAGAAATGTTATTCTTCTTAACCTCTGATAATAGGACAAGAAACAACGGGCTTAAATTGAAGCAGGGGAGGTTTAGGTTGGACAAAAGGAAAATCTTCTTAATTGTCAGGGTGGTAAAGTACTGGAATTAATTTCGTAGGGAGATTGTGGAACCTCTACCACTGGAGATTTTTAATAGTAGGTTAGACACTGTCAGAGGTGGTCTACTCTAGACGGTGCTTGCTCCTGCCGTGAGGACCTCTCGAGGTCCCTTCCGGTTCTATGAAATCTCACCAGGGACTATCAGACATAGACACGTACCTGTATCACTCTCCAGCTCCAGGAACAGAGTCTCTAAGGAAAGAAGAGAATAGGACAGATAAGAAACCAGAGTCTCACATTCATGGAGAAGTGCACATTGGTTATTCATGTAACAGCTTTCAACTATGAGATATGACAGAGAGAGAGGCCAATAATGCAACCATTGCAGACAGCCCTAGCCACACTGGGATTCTCTAGGGGGAAGAGTGATCCACTGAGCTAGGGATGTAAGATGCAGCCTGGGGTCAATGACATCATGAGAATCCCTGACTACAGCCCAGGGCCACTCTAGCCAAAAACACCTCCACTCCCAGATTTCCATTCACTTCTGAATCCCAGCAGCACCTCCAACAGCTGGGCGCTTGTCAGATAGAAATTGCTGAGTGTCTGCTCCAGCTCCGCAAACCCCAGCTCCTGAAACATCCCATCCCTCCCTGTTGTTGAAAGGAAGGGGGTGAGAAATGGGCCTGATCCCCAGCCTGAGCCAGCAGCCCCCACAACACCAGCAAACGTGAATCTAAGTTTGGCTCCACAGATGGTAATCGTTATGGTGAGTCACCTGCCTGCCATGGGCCCAGAGCGATAGGACATGGGGAAACAGGGAGCAGCACTACTTCCATGCTGGGATATTCCAATCACAAGGGCACTAGGATCACGTACAAAAGGAAGAGACAGAAACCACAGACTGAGCACATCCCTCATGCTGGGTATGGACAAACACAGAATCTAGGACTTCAGCAGAATGAATGTGGGCCCTTAAACACCAAAAACCCTGAGCCCTTCTGTGACCGTGCCCCCTTCCTCGGTCTGGTCCGGGGTACAATCAACCGTTTTCCAAGTCAGTTGATTTGTCTTTGCGCGTCGAATCCTACTATATCCGCCTCTCCCTCGGGTGGGGGAAAGAAGGGGGGCCCGGGCCCGCCCTCACTCAGGGGCCCCAGCCCAGGGCACTAAGGACAGAGACTGCACTTGAGTCTCTGTCCGGCTAAACGCACCAGCCCACGGGCTACTTCGCCGCCCTGGGCTACTTCCTTCCTCCCACACCCCGTCTTCGGGGTATCGGTACTCACAACGTCGTATCCTCCTGGAGAGACTGTTGTGAGTGCGTCTGGGTCTCTTCCCTCATCGGGGAGCCTTCGCGCTCTCCTCCTCTCTCCCTGTGACCGGTGGCTGGCAAGCTTTTGAAGTTCCCGCCGACCTGGGAGGGGTCTATGCGTCCCGCCCCCCTGACATCCGACACAGCGCGTCATCCTCCCTCATCTCGCCGGCGGGGCTGAGTCTAACTCAGCTGTGCCGCGGTGCTAATCAGCTGAGTCGCGGGCAACCGGCGCACCGCCGGTATATGCTCCACTGCCCCTCTGCGAGGGCGCTGTCCCGGGTGTCGGGTGCGGGGTCTCGGCACCCCGTCACACCTTCAGTTAAAGTAGTAACCTTGGGGTGTCACATTCATTTGGTGAAATGGGGCATATTCCACTGTCTAAATTATGGTCAGCTGCTCAGGTCATCAATTTAAGACTTTGTGTCCCACCTCCATTCTCAGCAGAACACACACTGCTTGCAGTGGGACAGCCATGCACACAGAGCAAGGGGAGATGCTACTCTTTCTAAGGGAGTAAAATGTTCGGTCCATTACTGTCACCATCAAAATCACTGCTTGGGAAAATGGCCCCATCCCATACACACCCTAATGCCCCTTGCAGTTTCTTCCCTTCCTTTACCATCCTCATTTCTTTATGTTTCTCTTGCTTCCCTGTCTTTGCATTGCTCTTCTGCCCTCCCTGCAGCAATTCGCCATTCTTCCCCCTCCAAGGCTTCACTCCCACCCTCTCCCCATTCCACCTGACCATTCTGCCTCAAAGCATCATCATTTCAGCTGGCATGCCAACGGAACTAATAGAGGCCAAGGCATTCACACATCTCTCTGTTTCAAGCTATTTGCAGATTCCAAAAACACTTCTCCATGCCCATTTGGGAAGGTTTCTTTGTAACCAGCAGAGCTAGAAACCTACTTTTAAAACCATGCGAACCAAGAGCCTGCACACTCTGAACATGTGATGCAGCCACATAAGCATGTCAGACAGGCCGGATCCAGCCCATGGTCCATATGCCTGATAGCCCTGATGAGACCTCAGCTGTCAGAGAATACCAGGCCTGCCCCTTGCTGAGGCAGCCACTAGGGGAGACAGGGTCACAGGCTCCAAGCCGGCATGTTACGTGGCAGAGACAGCTCTGCATTCAGCGCAGTTACCAGACCTAACACACACTAGGGATAAGAATATAAGAACAGCCAAAATGGGTCAGACCAATGGTCTATCTAGCCCAGTATCCTGTCTGCTGACAGTGGCCAATACCAGATGCCCCAGAGTGAGGGAACACAACAGGTAATGCTCAAATGATCCCTCCTCTGTCATCCATTTACAGAAAAATGAAGGCTAGGGACACCATTCTTACCCATCCTGGCTAATAGATTCATGGAGGTTAGGTCCATCAATGGTTATCTAGTTCTTTTTGAACCCTCTTAAAGTCCTAGCCTTCACATCGTCTAGCAAGAAGTTCAAGAGGAGTACATATTGTAGGGGAAACTCTAGCCAAACATTTCTCCAGAGCTCAGTTTTATTCTCCCACACCTCACTTCCCTCAGTCCTTTATTCTCAAGCTGAGGTGTCTGCTGAGAAAAGCTGCTCTGCGTCTTCCTGGTCTGCTGGGGTGGGAGGGCCGCTAGCTTTGCGTCTCCCTGGTCTGCTGGGGGGAAGCAGCTAGTGCGGGGTTGCCTCACCCCGTTTGTAAGTAGGGATCCGATGTAAGTCGGATCCGTGTAACCCGGGGACTGCCTGTATTCAAGTTGTGGGCGTACCATAGATTTATATAAGGGCAATAAGATATTCTCCGTCTTATTCTCTATCCCTTTTTTTCAATGATTCCTAACATTCTATCTGCTTTTCTGACTGCTGCTCTACACAGAGAATGATCCACAATGACACCAAGATCTCTCCCGAGAAGTTGTAGCTCAATTAGTCCCCATCATTTTGTATGTACAGTTGGGATTTTTTTTCGAATTTGCCTTACCTTACATTTACCAGCATTAAATTTCATTTGCCGTGTTGTTGTCCAGTCACCTAGTTTGGCAAGATCTTTTTGAAGCTCTTCACAGCCTGCTTTGGTCTTAACTATTTTGAGCAGTTTGGTATCATCTGCAAATTTTGTCACCTCACTGTTTACCCCTTTCTCTAGATCATTTATAAATAAGTTGAATAGGACTGGTCTCAGGACAGACCGTTGGGGGACTCCCCTAGTTACCTCTCTCTACTCGGAAAACTGACCATTTATTTCTACCGTGTGTTTCCTTTCTTTTAACCAGTTATCAATCTATGAAAGGACCTTCTCTCTTATACCATGACAACTTACTTTACTGCAGAGCCTTTGGGGAGGGACCTTGTTAAAGGCTTTCCGGAAATCTAAGTATACTTTATCCACTGGATCCACCTTGTCCACATTTGTTGACCCTCTAAAAGAACTCTAGTAGATAAGTAAGGCATGATTTCCCTTTACAGAAACCAGGCTGACTTTCCCCCAACAAATTATGTTCATCTGTATGTCTGACAATTTTATTCTTTACTATAGTTTCAACTAATTTGCCCAGTACTGATGTTAGACTTATCGATCTGTAATTGCCAGGATCACCTCTAGAGCCCTTTTTAAATATTGGTGTCACATTAGCTATCTTCCAGTCATTAGGTACAGAAGCTGGTTTAAAGAATTGGTTACAAACCATAGTTAATAGTTCCACAATTTCCCATTTTAGTTCTTTCAGAATTCTTGAGTGAATACCATCTGGTCCCAGTGACTTGTTACTGTTAAGTTTATCAATTTGTTCCAAAACCTTCTCTAATGACACCTCAATCTGGGACATTTCCTCAGATTTGTCACCTAAAAAGAAAGGCTCAGGTTTGGGAATCTCCCCAGTATCCTCAACTGTGAAGACTGAAGCAAAGAATTCATTTCATTTCTCTGCAATGACCTTATCTTTGAGTGCTCCTTTGGCATCTCGATCATCCAGGGGTCCCACTGGTTGTTTAGCAGGCTTCCTGCTTCTGATGTACTTAAAAAACATTTTGCTATTACTTTTTGTGTTTTTGGCTAACTGTTTTTCAAACTCCTTTTTGGCTTTTATTATATTACACTTAATTTGACAAAGTTTATGCTCCTTTCTATTTTCCTCACTAAGATCGGACTTCCACTTTTAAAAGATGTCTTTTTATCTCTCACTGCTTCTTTTACTTGCTTGTTAAGCCATGGTAGTACTTTTTTGGTTCTCTTACTGTATTTTTTAATTTGGAAGTTGGGCCTCTATTATGGTGTCTTTGAAAAGTTTCCATGCAGCCTGCAGGGATTTTACTTTTGTCATTGTACCTTTTAATTTCTGTTTAACTAACCTCCTCGTTTTTGTGTAGTTCCCTTTTCTGAGATTAAATGCTACAGTGTTGGGCTGCTGAGGCGTGTTTCCTACCACAGGGATGTTACATTTTATAATATTATGGTCACTATTTCCAAGTGGTCCAGTCATATTTACCTCTTGAACCAGATCCTCTGCTCCACTTAGGACTAAATCAAGAATAGCCTTTCCCCTTATGGATTCTAGAACCAGCTGCTCCAAGAAGCAGTCATTTAAGGTATCAAGAAATTTTATCTCTGCATCCTGTCCTCAGGCGACGTGTACCCAGTCAATATGGGGATAGTTGAAATCCCCCACTATTATCAAGTATTTTAGATTGGTAGCTTCTCTAATCTCTCTTAGCATTTCATGGTCACTATCACTCTCCTGATCAGATGGTCGATAATATATCCCTACTGCTATATTCTTATTATTAGAGCCCAGAATTGCTTTCCATAGAGATTCTATGGAACATTTTGGTTCATTTAAGATTTTTGCTTCATGGCACCTTGAGCTGATTCCTGGGCCACTTCCCTGCCTCATTGCTGGGGCTCCAGCTGCAGCACCAAACTGCACAGCTTTGAGCCAGGCTACGTGCGCAGGAACTGCTGGCCTACGGGGATGGGGGAGCGGTAAAAGGCACAACAGAGCATGCCTGCTCCGTCTGCCACAGCAGCAGCGCCATACCGGAGCGTGCGTGGGCAGAGGCGTAGCAAGAGGGCAGGGGAATTGCCCCTGGGTGCCATGCTAGGGGAGCACCAGGCTGGGGTGGGAGCAGAGCACACAACCCCACACATTGCGGTGAGTCAGGAGCATCTGGTGGGCCATGTGCTCCCTGTGCAAACTGCAATCAAGCATCCTAGGCAGGCGGGCTGGGTGGCAGGAGCAGCCTCTTCCAAGGTAGGGTGTCCCCTACCTTCAGTGCCTGGTTCTGTGGGAGGGGATTTGGTTGGGGGCAGGTCTGGGGGTGCATTGGGTTTGAGGGGGGGAGGCTGAGGCTGAGGCGAGACTGGAGCACATAGGCTCATGCATCATGGAGAGCTGGGAGCTGGCAGGCCACGTGCTCCCTGTGCAAACTGCAATCCTAGGCAGCCAGGCTGGGCGGCAAGAGTGGCCATTTCCACGGTAGGGTGTCCCGTACCTCCGATGCCTGGGTCTGGGGGAGGAGTGGGTGCATTGGGATAAAGTGGTAGGCTGAGGTGCCTAGTTCTGGGGTAAGAGAGGGGTTATTTCAGTACTTGCAGTTTGTTTGATTTGTTAAAATTGTGAAGCCAATACAAAAAACTAATCAATGTAATGGTCTTCTGTTGATATGTGTTTTAGTAGTTAAATTGCTGTCACTGCTCATTAAACATGCTGTCATATTGGTGGAAATTGGGTAAATATTGAATTTTATTAATATCAGCAGAACTGACTTAAATGGGGCCTGTGTTGTGTAGTCTTGCCTTAATCTTTGTATCCATGCCTGTCAGTACGAAAGAAGCTATTTGCATATATTTACATAAATACTTGCATATATTTGCAGCCATGCTTAAGTTGCGGCCCACAGCACGTGCTGTGGGTATCATTTGTGGGCCCCGGGGCTTTCAAAGTTGAGTAGCCCTGTGTTAGACTCTTTTTCATTTGACACTGTCTCATCTGATCTGACCCATACTTCCACCCTGTCCTCCTGACTGGAACATAGAGCATCTCTATTAATAGACCCTCCCCTAAGAGATGTCTCTGTCCAATCCATGTGCTCCTCTGCACCTGTCAGCTTTCCCCAAGCCCTTAGTTTAAAAACTGCTCACCACCTTTTTAATGTTAAGTGCCAGCAGTCTGGTTCAATTTTGGTTTAGGTGGAGCCCATCTCCCTTTATCCCTAAAGTTTCCCCAGCTCCTAATAAATCTAAACCCTTCCTCTCTACACCATTGTCTCATCCACGCATTAAGACGCTGAAGCTCTGCCTGCCTGCCCACCTGGCCTTGCACTGGAACTGGAAGCTACCATAGAGGTCCTGGATTTCAATCTCTTTCCTAGAAACCTAAATTTGGCCTCTAGAACCTCTCTCCTACCCTTCCCTATGTCATTGGTACCTACATGTACCAAGACCACCAGTTCCTCCCCAGCACTACACATAAGTCTAGATGTCTCAAGAGATATGCAACCTTGGTGCCAGGCAGGCAGGTCACCATACAGTGCTCCCAATCATCATGTCATGATCATGAGAAATGGCCAGCAGCCTGGGGACTAAGGGGTTAACTATACCTAACCCAGGTAGAGTTGGCCAATAGGAATTTCAAACTGGGACAATGGAATTTTTGGTTTTTCTCTCCTTTGTCCCTAGGCAGTTTCTCTCTAGCTATTGAGGGAGACAGACAGATTATCTCCCTCCAAGAACAGACTCTTCTGTAAGTAGGGCAAAGTTTAGATAAATCCATTAGGTTTTATTGTTTTATGGTTTTGCAAATGGGATCTGATGTCTCTGCATTTAAAATGGGTTTTTCTCTTTTTTGCAACTAAGTTTGGGCCCATGGTGGAATTCCGCATGAGTATATTACTTTGTGACTTTACCATCTAGTCATTATGCTTGCAACAGGAATATTGTGGTGATAATAAAAGTTCTCTCTCTTTTCTTTTGATTAACCTAGTATTGCTTAATTTTTGTGTCCTGGTTTCTACTTTAGGGGTCAGATTTCCCAAGAGATCTCTTCCCTGATTTTCTTATCATTACTTGGGTGGTGGCAGCGAAGTTTTTATCCCCAAAATCTAGACTGTTAAGATTTTCGGGGGAAAGTTTTTTACCAAAGCCTGGAAAGATAAGATTTTGAGGTACTTTTGCAGGCCACCACTTCTACATTTATCATCCTAGAGTGGGGAAGGAGCCATGACACATCACAAACCCAGTTTCTAATGATTACTAACACCTGCCTTTCCTTATTACTGGAGTTTCCTCCCCCGGAGACGTATCTTCAGTGTGAGAGGATAAGAACATAACATAAGAACATAAGAACGGCCGTACTGGGTCATACCAAAGGTCCATCTAGCCCAGTAGCCTGTCTGCCGACAGTGGCCAGAGGCAAAGACAATGATCAAGTGATTTGACAAACAGAGGCCAGAGACACCATTTCTATCCCCTGGCTAATAGCCTTTTATGGATCTAACCTTCATGAAATTATCTAGCTCCTCTTTAAACTCTGTTATAGTCCTAGCCTTCACAGCCTCCTCTGGCAAGGAGTTCCACAGGTTGACTACACACTGTGTGAAGAAGAACTTTCTTTTATTAGTTTTAAAACTGCTCCCCATTAACTTCATTTGGTGTCCTCTAGTTCCTCTATTATGGGAACTAATAAATAACTTTTCTTTATTCGCCCTCTCCACACCACTCATGATTTTATAGACCTCTATCATATCCCCCCTCAGTCTCCTCTTTTCTAAACTGAAAAGTCCCAGTCGCTTTAACCTCTCTTCATATGGGACCTGTTCCAAACCCCTAATCATTTTAGTTGCCCTCTTCTGAACTCTTTCCAAGGCCAAAATATCTTTTTTGAGGTGAGGAGACCACATCTGTACACAGTAGTCAAGATGTGAGCGTACCATAGTTCATCATAACATCTTCTGGATGGAGGGTCCCAATTATTTCCCTCTGCTCCAGATGACTGTTCTCCTTCCCTGAGCCTTTCATTCTCCCTAACAACACAAAGGCTGTCGTTCTGCAGTGTCCTGGAAAGCCTCATCTATGTACCTCTCGGCCTCCCTTGGCTCTCCAATTCAGCCACCCTGGCCTCCAAAGCCAGTATGCGGTCTCTGAGGTCCAGGAGTTCCTTACACTGAATGCACACATACACCACCTATCCATAGGGCAGGTAATCACACATGCTACATTGGGTGCAATAAACAGGACAGCCCCCACTCTGCTGCTGGGCTTCTGCCTACACTCTCTCCTATAGCTAAATAGGTTATTGATAGAGTTTTTATTTAAATCAGGTATCAGAGGGGTAGCCGTGTTAGTCTGAATCTGCAAAAGCGGCGAGGAGTCCTGTGGCACCTTATAGACTAACTGAAGTGTAGGAGCATAAGCTTTCGTGGGCAAAGACCCACTTCGTCAGATGCATCTGACGAAGTGGGTCTTTGCCCACGAAAGCTTATGCTCCTACACTTCAGTTAGTCTATAAGGTGCCACAGGACTCCTCGCTGCTATTTAAATCAGGTAGTTTTGGTTTTAGATTAGTTTAAAAGTTTTAAAGAATGGCAAATGTACCTCACCCCCTTCCAACTCCCCCTCTATACTCTCTGTTCACAAAGCTCCCTGGTCGCTTACTCACAGCTTTATAAAACCCTGGCCTTCCTGATAGCCCTGCCCCCAGCTAAGGCTTGACCAATGAACAGAGGGTTCTAGATTTCAAATCTCTGTTAAGAAGCTCACAGCATCCAACTGCCAGCCACAGCACATGGTCCTTCACAGTTTCTTTCAGGCAACCAGCAAGTAACCCTCAAACACAAACACATACACTACAGATAGCCACTTACCTCAAGGGTCCCGTAAATCACTCCTCCTCCACCTTGAGAACTCCCTCACAAAACTCTGTTAGCTGCCCCTGTTCGCAAAGATGTAAAAATATAGTCAATTAACTGATAACCAAAAGCTTTTAGCTTAATGCTATGGACTATACTAGGCATATCAAACTGGCGATTGTCGGGCCACATGCGACCCACTGGTACATTTTTATAAAGGAATAAAGTGCAGCTCAGAGCACGTGGCCAATTGCAGATCACAGCCAGCTGGGCCACTCTGCGCCGCAGCGACTGCTCATGGCGAGGGCTGTTCTGTGTACAGCACCAGCACATACTCACGGCCGGCCGGACTGCTCTGCGCTAGGTGCTCTGCACACGTGCTCACAGCCAGCCGGGCTGCTCTGTGCCCAGCAAGTGCTCACAGCCAGCTGGGCTGCTCTGCGCTGGCTGCTGTACTCAAGCCACCCCAGCGTGCCTGAGGAATAAATGTGTGGCGGCAGCAATGGCAACTCCAGGACCCAGGTAACAGGTATGGGCGAAGGGGAGGGGGGCTGGGAGTGCCTGGCTAAGGGGGAGGAAGGAGGTATTAGGTTGGGGGGTCCTGGCTCTGGTGGAGGGGAGAGGCATTAGGTTGGGGGAGGCTGGGAGTTCCTGGTTCTGGGGGAGGAAGGTGGCATTGGGTTGGGAGGGCCAGAGCGGAGGGGAATTGGGTTAGAATGGGGATATGGGAGTGCCAGGCTCTGGGGAGAGGAGGGTGTTATTTTGTTAATATTTTATTTTTTATTTATTCATTCCCAAATAAAATTACAAAATGTATATTAATTTTATATCAATGTGTCCATTTTTTGCAACTGCATGAATAATTATGTGTTTATGCAAAATCTCTAACTTACAAAGTATCTAAAATTTTCACAGAAGTGTGTTCCATTTGATTAACCAGTCTATGCTTGTTTTTATTTCAGCAAAACAAGTTGTGTATCATAAAAAAATTAAAAAGTACCTTAAATTTATATTTAAATTAAAAATTATTTTATATGAGCAAATAACAATTTTACACATCAAATTATTGTATTATTGTAAAACAAGACCTGAAAAACATTATAAAATATACCTAAAACATAATCTATAATAATAAATAATTAACACTTTCTGATAAAGTACGTTTTCTTTCGTGGCCCTGAAAGCTATCAGTTTTCGTTTGTGAGGCCCTCAGCAGGCTTCGCATTTGACATGCCTGGACTACAGACATTTCCCCTCTCCTTGCCAGTACATTTTTTAGCAGGCTGGCCAGCAGCCAGGCTCAGTCCTGGCTTGCGATGAGTCCGGGACCAACCACTGCTGCAGCTCTGCATTTACAGTGTATTAGGAGCCAGGTGAGTAGACAATGCGGCTCAGTTCCGGCTCATGCTGGGTCCAGGACCCACTCCCTTTTCAGCTCTGCATTTCAAGAGTATTAAGAGCTGGGTAGACAGGCAGCCCAGCTCAGTTCTGGATCACACCGGGTTTGGGAGCTCAGACCCCCACCTAGACAGGGACTGCTGTCATTCCGCACTGCTGCCTCTTTCTCAGAAGCAACCCAGGGCGACAGGCAGCCAGTCCACGAGGGGAGCTGGTTTTTAAACTGGCTCCCCTCGTGGGCCAGCTCCCACCTGGCACCCCATGCTGCTGCCTCTGGTAAAGTGGCTGCCAGCCCCAACCCCAGGGACTATAAAATGGTCAACTAACTGATACAATTTATTGAGGTTACTCAACTATTCAATTCACCAATATTTAACATCGCTAACACACAAAAGGGAGAGTGAAACAGAACCCAGGACTTACCTGCCCAAGCGCTACCAGCACCTTAGAGAGGGAGAAACAGAAGAGGGAGTCAGAGGCTTGGCCCAGCCGGGGGAACATCCTACCCTGCAGAAGAGTCACCATTGGAGCCTCTGGTACTTTGGGAATTTCAGACACTGGGGTTTGTGTTCCCAGAGCAGCTGCCATCTCCCTGGCCCCACCAGAAGGGATATCTGCTCATCCTACCTCAGCCAGCCCTGCACCGAGGAGCCCACATGGGAAAATGGGTTCTCTGCAGTAAGAGTCAAATTCCCTTCAGAACTGAAAGGTCCACAAGCTGACTGACCCCAGTAAACCAGGGTGAACGGGGCCTTACGCCTGGCTCAGGGCCTCCGCATGCAGCAGGAGACTTTGCCCTCCAAGTGCAAATTAGGAATGTTAAAAATTCTGTAATAGGGTAACCGTGTAACCACTGAAAATCTCACCACCTCCCTGACAGCAGATGGGTGCACAACTGCTACACACTGGCCCCTGCTCTGTTCCTGAGTCCAGTGGGGCCGGTCCCCTGGCTGAGACTGGCAGGCGGGGCCCTGCATTCACCATCTCGTTTAGGGCACTCTAGGCCCAGGCTGTCCTGGGGGGCAGAATGCTCCTCGCTTTGTCGCTGCCCCTGGCTTTGGCTGCTTCTCTCTGCGCAGGGCACCCAGGGGGTAAGGCAGTGCGCGCCAGAAGCGGCAGGGAGGGGTTACACGCTGCTGCAATCAACCTCCCTGGTGCCGCGCTGCAGAGCCCAGCCTGCCCTCAGGCCCCCTGCAGGCATTCCCCGGGTCTGGCTGCAGCTCAGCGCGGGTGAAAGGGGCAGCAGGTTTCCGGAGAAAGCCCTGAACTCCCTGGGCTAATGACAGGGTGCAGCCCAGCCCGTCGCCTATTTCCAAACAGCGCCTGGCCCCTCCCGCCCCCCAGCTTCAGACACCCCACAATTGCCCGGCTACACCCCCAAGTGCCAGAGCGGAGCATGCGGCCGCCCCGACCCTCACCCCAGCCGGGCTCCGGCCCCGCAGCTCCCGCCCCCCTCCGGCGTGTAGTGCCTCTCCGGCCGCGGGGAGCCGGGCAGGAGCGTGCCCGGACGCA